CTGCCTCCCTAACCTGTTCTTCCTCCCACCTATCCCCTCCTCCCACCTCAAGCCGCACCTCCATCTCCTACCGACCAACCTCATCCCGCCCCCTTGACCTGTCCGTCCTCCCTGGACTGACCTATCCCCTTCCTAACTCCCTACCTACACTCACCTTTCCTGGCCCCATCCCCGCCTCTTCGACCTGTTTGTTTCCTCTCCACCTATCCTCTCCTCTATCCCTCTTCTATCCGCCTCCCACTCTCTCCCTATTTATTTCAAAACCCCCTTCCCCTCCCCCTTTTCTGATGAAGGGTCTAGGCCCGAAACGTCAGCCTCTCTGCTCCTGTGATGCTGCTTGGCCTGCTGTGTTCATCCAGCCCTGCACCTTGTTGTCTCGAGAGAAAAAGACAGTTGGACAGACAAAGGAGTTGCTAACGATCAGGCTGGGAGGGTGAATAGTTGTTAATGGGGACTGTTAGTGACTAACAACACGGGGTGTGTAGTGGCAGGCTATGTGGTAACAAGGCCTGGTGTGTGGGGTGGGGGGCTGGGACATGGGAGAGTTTAGGCTTTAAAATTATTGAACTCAATGTTGTGTCCAGAGGGCTGTAGGGTCCCCAAGCGGAAAATGTGGTGTTGTTCCTCCAGCTTACGTTGGGCTTCACTGGAACACTGTCGCAAGCCGGAGACAGAGATGTTGGCCAGGGAGCAAGGTGGTGCATTGAAGTGGCAGGCAACAGGTAGTTCAGGGTCAACAAGGTGCAGGGCTGGATGAACACAGCAGGCCAAGCAGCATCCTAGGAGCAGAAAGGCTGACGTTTCGGGCCTCGACCCTTTTTTGCGAGCAGAACGTAGATGTTCTGCGAAGTGGTCGCCAAGTCTATGCTTCGTTTCCCCAATGTAGAGGAAATAATTTGTCCTGTACAAAAATAATTTGAAATAATTTATTTTTCTTGAATTGTGAAATATCTCAGTACTACTTAGTTTTGTTTTTACATTTTAGAATCCGTTGTAAATCAGGGATCTCATATATTGTGTCATACTGATACTAATTTTTAATCCACGTTTTTCCATTCTGATTTTTTAAACAGTCGCCTTTTAAGCATTGTATCAGCACTTTTCCCCAAAGGCTCCCGCAGTGTGGTTCCCCGTGACACACCTCTGAACATATTTGTGAAGATCATCCAATTTATTGCTCAGGTACGACTTAAGTAATAGTATTTATGGTGTAGTTATGCTTTATTATTAACAAGTTTGACTTTATCGGAAACATCCTGCTAATTGACCACAGTTCTTAGTGGAATACCCTGTTGTTCTTGTATAGTTTGTATATAGCACGCTGAAATTTGTGTTTGCCAAAATAGTTTTTCAAGGGCTACTTTTTGACTTTTGGAGCCACTTCGGTTATCAGGGGCTGCTTTTAAAACCGGTGCATTTACAATGACAGCAGCCACTCCTTTTAACATCCTAGAATGAAGACCATCAGAATTAGAGATCTCTCATTCTCACTCACACGTTTGCTCTCTGTCTGTCACTCACACACATACACTTGATTTGTCTCTATCTCACACACACGTGCTCTCTCGCTCACGCATGTGCTCTCTTGCGCGCGCACGTGCGCACTATCTCTCCATGTGCAGTTACGAAACAGGTGGCAAAATGGATTTCTTTCTTGCTTCAAATAAAGGTGGGACTAGATGTTAGATTAGGAGTGGTGGACAGTGATAAATGGTATTCCACCAATGTTAGCATTGGGAGGAATTCAAAATTTAAGTGTATATTTTGGACATAGGAATCAAAAATATATATTTTAAATTCAGTATGAAGCCAAATTGAATGGATAGTCATTACTGAAGGGGACTACAACATGTTACAGGAGAATATTAATAAACTTGCAGAAAAGCTTTATAAATGGCAAATTAAGTTCAAAACACAAATCTGAGCAACTGTATTTGGTAGGAAGGTGCAAGTCTAGCTGGGTTGGAAGAAGAAGGGAATCCTTAGGTTATCCTTAGTTTAGCATTAAAGCATAAAAATGCAAAACAAGCACCAGGCTTGAGTTTAATGGGGCAGAATTGAAAAGAGAGCAAATTATGCTAAATCTGTATTGAGTTTTGTTTAGATCACCTTTAGAATACTGTGCACACTACTCCTGGTTGCGAAACTAGAAAGAGTATATAGAGAAACTGAAGATGGTACACAGATCTTACCAGAAATGTCTGGATATACATATCACTGAAGGATTAACAGGCTAGATTTTTCTCTTTCTTGGAAAAAAGAAAACTGAGGGAAGGTCTTTAAAAGTACAATAAGTTTTGCTGGAGGGTCTAAAGAGACAACATGCCCTTTTATGGGAAGGAGTGGAACTGATGGCTATGACGGTCACCAAGAAATCAAAAGGAATGTCTTTACTCAGAGAGTGAGTTGAACATGGTATTTTGCTACCCCAAGGTATTGTTTAAGCAGCCAATTTTGACATTTTTAAAGGGAAGCTAGAAAAACATCTAAGGAAATAAAGAGCATGGCTATTTTAACAGTTATATCATCAATCATAGAATCCCTACAGTGTGGAAACAGGCCCTTCGTCCCAACAAGTCCACACCAACCCTCAGAGCATCCCACCCAGACCCATCCCTCTATAACCCACCTAATCTACACATCCCTGCACACTATGGCCAATTTAGCATAGCCAATCCACCTAGTCTGCACATCTTTGGACTGTGGGAGGAAACCAGAGTACCTGGAGGAAGTCTACGCAGACACGGGGAGAATGTGCAAACTCCACACAAACAGTCGCCCAAGTGTGGAATTGAACCTGGGTACCTGGCGCTGTGAGGCAGCAGTGCTAACCACTGAGCCACCGTGCCACCCCATGAAGTAGGTTGGGAGGAATCTGACTTGGAGTTTGAATACTGGTGTGGGCATATTGACTGTGTGGCTAGTTTCAATGCCATAAATGCGACACAACCATAAAACAGAACTGTATTGGTTATAAACACTTAGAAGTTCAACTACATTGTTTTTGTTTTAACAACAGGAACGTCTTGATTTTGCAATGAAAGAAATCATATTTGATCTACTTTGTGTTGGAAAGCCATCAAAAACATTTGCTATTAATCCAGAGGTAAGACGAGGATTAACTGTTTAATTTTTCTATTAATGTTTGGCAAACCAAGAAATAAGTTTATCAGTTGAGAGAACACCTAGTTGTTTAGGATATTATGACGCTTTGTTACAATAAATTGTACTAATATTTTGTAGCATTTTCCCAATGAAATGATAATCCAGCCGGTAGATGTTATGACCAATGCTGGAACAATACACCGTTGCTCAAGTCCCACTACTTCATGTATCACAACATAAATTAAAAATGATTTTTCTAGTTGCCAATATGGTCAATTAAATGCCTTCTCCATATCATGTTTTAAACAGCAAAATTTAACAGCCAGGTTTCTTAACAAGCACAATTATTATTATCAAAACAAAGTTTATTCAATGAAAGCGCAACAGTTGGTTTACAGACAATACCAATTATATCAAATTATAAATCTTATCCCTCTAAATATTCCAAAAACAAACATGCTGATTCTTCAGAAAAGAAAAAGAAAGATTTCTTTACAGAAATTTGCTTCCTGAACAAAAACACTTGAGCAAATAGATTATTCTCAAAGTCAGAAGGATCAAGTATGTTCCAGAATCTGTTGCTCTGATGTTCTGCAAATGTGGTCAGGTCACTAATTGTATACTGTCGTCTCTAAAGTCTTGGAGACGCAGCTTTCTCAGGAAATACAATCTTGAGATGCTCCTTCAGTCACACTTGCAAAAAAAAAAGAGTATCACCTTAAACTGCACAAGGGAGAGGTCAGATGGGCAGCTTGTTTTTAGCACATCTTACTCCAACTTAGCTAGTTCTAAACAAGCTATTCTCCAACTGATCTATATAAAACAAGAACTTCTCCGAGACATTTGCTGTTCAAAACAGCCCCAGAAAGTGGCTAAAGTAATGCAAACAGTTAGCATGAGTCATAGAAACATAAAACTAGGAGCAGGAGTAGGCCACTTAGTCCTATGAACCAGCTGTGCTATTCATAGGATCATGGTTGATCCTCTACCTCAATGCCATATTTCTACTTTCCTCCCATACCCTCTGATGCCATTAAAATCTAAAACTTTATCTATCTCTTTCTTGAATACATTCAGAATATGTACTTGAATATATACTTGGCCTCCACAACGTTCTGTGATAGAAAGTTCCACAGGTGCACTACTCTTTGAGTAAAGAATCTTTTCCTCATCCTGAGATTCTGCCCCAGATTCTGGGCTTCCAAATCATCTAGTCTGTCCAGCCATGTTAGAACTTTATATACTTCAATCTGGTCCCCTGTCATCCTTCTAAACTCTAGTGAATACAGGCCCAATCGAACCGATCTCTCCTCAGAGGTCATCCCAAGTATCAGCTGAGTGAAATCTTCCGTACTCCCGCTATGGTAAATATGTTGTGTGCCTTTGAACAAGTGTTTGCTTATCGTGCCCCCCCTGCAAGTTGAGCATTCTGCTTGCTACTGCGGTCATGACAGCATGTTGGGATGGGGTTCTTAAGTAGGTGGTTGGCTAATCGAGTCCTCGCCCTTCACCCTCCCATCTGATTAAATGACTGTCCACTTCCAAACTTGCCGCCTGGCTTGGCACAAGTTTTTATCCATTGTTTAACCTATTCTTCCTATCACAGTGAATGACCTCATAATTCCCCATGGGTTATTCTTCATTTAGCAGCTCTTGCCCATTCATTTAGCGTGTCATCATGCTTTTGCGGCCTCATTGTCCTCTTAACTACTTTTGCAATCTAGTGTCAATCCTCAACAAACTTGCATATAATTTATTGCGTTCTTTGAGGCTCCACCTCTGATCAGTGTAGCACCATGCCAGTGATAATGCACCAATCTGAAAATGATCTATTTATATCAACTGTTTTCTATCCTATATCCAAGCTAACGTATTACCCCCAATCCTTGCCTTCTGAAATAGTCTTTACTGTTGCCTTATGAAAATCCAAATAAGCTACATCAGTTTATTCCCTTTCCTCTACTCTGATGGCTGCAACCTCAAAAAAATCTTCAATCGGCCAAACTCGAATTCTCTTTCTTTAGGTTCTTCAATGATGAATTCCCTTTTCTTCATTCACAGGATGTGGGTATTGCTGGCTAGGCCAGCATTCATTGCACACCCCTAATTGCTCAAAGGGCAGTTAAGACTCAACCATATTGCTGTAAGTCTGGAGTCGCATATAGGCCAGACCAGGTAAAGATGACAGATTTCCTTCCCTAAAGAACATTAGGGAAGGTAGATTTTTCCCGACAATCAACAACAGTCATCACTGAACTTTTAATTCCAGATGTTTTATTGAATTCAAATTGCACTGTCTGCCATGGTGAGATTCAAACCTGGGTCTCCAGAATATTACCTGATCTATAGATTAACAGTCTAGCGATAATACCATGAGGCCATCACCACCTCTGGTCCGTAGTTCCATGTTTTCTCTCTCCCTTCTTTGTTAAACAACAGTTACATTTGATACTTACAAATACACTAGGGATGTCTTGGCCATTACCTTGTTTCCCATTGCAATTTCTGTTGTCTCGGGCCCTTAGTTGACCATGTTTACCTTCACTATACGCTCCTTTCTACATAGTTATTGAAGCTCTTAACAGTATGTTTTAATATTGCTAATTAACTCTGATATTCTGTTTTCTCCCTTTTAGTTCTTTATTCATAATTTGCTATTTTCAATAACTTTCCCAACCTTCAGGTTTACTACTCATGCTAACATTGTTATTATTTTCATTTAGCCACAATTGGACCTCCTTTCCCGTAATGATATTATTTCTCAATGGAAGGTGGTTTTGCTAAGAATAATGAAATATTTCTCTACATTTCTTTCTCGCTTCACCCTTTTGATTCCAGTGTGCTTTAGCTAACAAACCCCTCTGACCCAAGTTTAAGACTCAACCTTGGATTTAAGTTAATAATTCTTGAACACTAAAAACTATCATATTATGATCACTGTTCCCTGGAGGGCCCTCGCAATGGATTACAAATTAACCCCAGCTCATTACCCAAGAAAAGACCTTAAGTAATCTGTTTCTTAGTTCGTTCCATGATATATTGTTCTAGGAATCCATTCCATGATCTCATTCTTCAGATATTTGCCAATATAATTTGTCCAGTCACTATGTGGTTATGCCCCAAATGTTTATTGTCGTGTTTTTATTACAAACTATAATCCCTTGCTTAATACTCTGCCCACCATTATTGTTACTGTTTGGGGACCTATAAAGTTCTCTTACCCGGTTTCCTGCCTTTATTATTTCATATCTCCACCCGTAGTGATAGAAGTTCTCAATTTTCTGAGCCAAATCTTTCCTTCAAGGAACAAAGTGCTGGAAGAAACTCTGGTTTGACAATATTGTGCATTCTGAAGGACAGTCATATTGGACTCAAAATGCTTTCCCTTTCCACAGATGTGGCTCAGACTGCAATGTTTCTGCAGCATTTTGTCTTTTCAGATATTCAGCATCCACAGTACTTGGCTTTCATCTTTTCTTCCTGCTGTGCATATAGCATTCTTTATTGTGTCCGGGTTACACAACCCCATGTAATCTAATCCAACCCCACATCCCTCAATACTTTCCGACCTTGTCTTTTCAAAATGTCAAGTACTTTGGAATGTTTAGTTCCCAACCTTGACTGTTAGATCAAAGTCATTCATCTCTATTTGTGCCATTAATTTGCCATCTTATTATACACGCCTTATGCATTCTGATAAGGAACCTTTGATTTTACCATTTGCCATCTTTCTTAGTACTGACATAAACAGTTTGCGTTGTTTGCTATTAATTCAATGTTGTGAGCAACAATTGTTGCAAAGTAATGCCAAGCATGATTAAATTTGAAAGAACTGACAGTTTGTCCTTGTAACTTATTCCTGTTGCAGAGAATGAACATAGGTTTGAGAGCATTTCTAGTTATTGCAGATAGTTTACAGCAAAAAGATGGGGAGCCTCCAATGCCAACAACAGGAGTTGTCCTTCCATCAGGAAGTACATTGCGAGTAAAGAAAATCTTCCTGAACAAAACCCTCACGGACGAAGAAGCTAAAGTGATAGGTTGGTTTATATACTTCTTTGTGTATGTTAGTCTCTCTTTTTGCCTAGACAAAGACATTTTTTGTATTTTTGTTTGAAATATAATCCTCTGCTTCATAATTACATAAATGAGCTCTTGGTTTATCATAATCCCTGCATGCATTTATTTGCCCAATTCTGAAATAGTGAGCTTGAAATTGAACAGAATTTGCTGGTTAAGATATCTCGAGTAAAGGTCTAGTTAACACCTAAAACGGGAGAATGAATACTTCGTGAATCAATCATTTAAATTACCATGTAGACTTAAGTGATTAATTGATAAGCAAACAGTGCCAAAAACACAGTAATAGGGGCAAGCATCCACTTGTTACTTTAATGACCTGAACAGAGTTGTCTGAAGGTATTCAAAAGACTGAAATTTAAAATGTGAAATATGCCTATATCGAGTTAAGCTTGTGTTTTGTCAAACTTTTGTGTTAAGACACAAATCACTTAATTCAAAGTAGTCATCTCTTGTGAAACCAGTTACTAGCTGACCTGGTGGTGTTTGGTGTCATTCCACCAATTGTGCTGGTTTAAAAGCAATGGACAAATTACTTGTTAGTGTTACTATTCAAACAGGATTCCAAGATGACGTTAATCATGGATTTCCTGTAATCAGTTGTTTTTGTTCATTCTGCTCTGTTGCACTTCAGAACTTGAGAACACAAGCTGACATACCAGGGCAAAGTGATGAGAGGTCTGCTCTCTGTTGGAAGTGCCTGCCTCTTTTAGGCAGAGGTTAACATCAGGCTTCATCTGCCTGCTCTAGTGGGTGCAAAAGATAGCACGACACTTTCAAAGAAAAGTGGAGGATATATCTCCAATGTTCTGACTATTGTGGCTGCGTTTGCTGGCACTGAGGAACATATGTAGCATGCTGCAGGGAGACGCTTATTCAGTAAATGAAATCTTTTGACTTTTATCCTGTAGGAAGCATGATAGTCAGTGTGTGTTCCACAAATAGGAATGTGACAACAACCAGATAATCAGGTCTTTCTGATCAGGAGGGTTGTGAGATTGGGTTGGGTAGAAAGCCAGGGTTGGGTGCAGGATGGCGGGGAAGAAAGGAAGAAGCACCCCTCCCCCACCAATCCTGGAGGTCTTTTCTGCAGCCAAACTCTTCCCTCCCACTCCTCTTCCTCTCCTCCCTCCTTGCCTATTTCCCTCCCTCCCTTTCACAGTGCAGAATTTCCTCATTTAATAACCACTTTTTCAGGAATGAATCAATGATGTTGTGCTTGATAGTGGATCTTAGCTTCTTAACTCCCTCCCAAGATTACTCATGCTCCACCAAACTTGGACCTAATTCTCTCAGGCCCAGCATGGGAGTTACATGGTAATGATCAGGCAACCAACAGTGGGAGTACAAAAGAACAGCAGTGCAAATGCAAATGTTTGCACTGTTTCGTTGTACTCATTCAGGGCAGAAGTTAGTTTTGATATTATGCAAATACGTTGGGTGGAAACTTGAACATGACTTCAAATCAGGAAAACACACTTAGGAGCAGATTTTGGCCACAGCTTCCTCATCATACCCAAAACAGAAACCCAGTACAAACAAAATTACAGCCTTGATAATTCTTCTGCTGAATGTAGAAAAATAGTTACTTCTCCCGCATTAACAAATAAAGGAGAATTGACTTTGAAATAGGACTCGAACCATACTTGGCAGATCACTGCTAACCTTAAATGGATTAATTCTCATTCTGTCTCTGTCTGAATGTCTCTCTCCTCTCCATGCAGCTCCTTTAGTTTGAGGTATATTTTTAATTTGCTTTGTTCCAGTCAATCTGTGTATTTTTACTGTTAAGATTTCAATTTTTTTCTGTAAACTACATCTTTTTACACGTTTCAGAGATAGTAGAAACTGCAGATGTTGGAGAATCTGAGATAACAAGGTGTAGAGCTGGGTGAACACAGCAGGCCAAGCAGCATCAGAAGAGCAGGAAAAGGAGCAGGAAACCTTTCTGAAGAAGGGTCTAGGCCTGAAATGTCAGCTTTCCTGCTCCTCTGATGCTGCTTGGCCTGCTGTGTTCATCCAGCTCTACACCTTGTTATCTCTTTTTACACATGGTTAGGTTTGTTAATAACTATGCATACAAGTCTGCATAACATTTTGGTGTAAAACCATTCTGTAACGAATAATTGACAGTGTAATACTCAGCATTTTCCATCTTGCAAAATGGAACCAGCTTTAAAATCCTTGTTCAGTGTTCAATTCTATTTCTTCATTATGTTGATAAATTCATGTTTAGTTTCTGTAAATAAAAATATTTTGTTTTATTCACAGACATATGGGCAACATCTGACCAGGTGCAGTATCAAGGAGCCCTTGTAAAATTGAAAGGAAAGCCCTCCACTGACAGGAGTCTTATGCAGATTGCAAAAAAAAAGGAAAGACTTGCATTTATGACTGACCAATAAAGGTCAAAAAGTGTTTCTTCAACTAACTTAAAAACAAAAATTCGAGATAGTATTCAGCCATGTTTATGTCAGAAACTGCTGAATTTATTGTTTATGTTGAGATTTATGTTTAGAATGAATAAGAAACTAAAGTGAAAAGGCCTCTTGCTGTATTTCATGTGACCATGATAGAGTTTGAGGTGTTTCTCAGTTAATTTTCCAATTCCTTCATGTCTTGGCCCAGATCCATGCGCTCCTACTAAATTAGAAAAATGTCAATATATTTTTAACTGAGTTTGGATTCACTGGCTGTTATCCTTGTCCAGTTGTTCACTCGTAATTCCAGAAGCAATTATGTGGAAATTTTACTTAATTCTGCTGTTAAATTGAAACAGTGTTATTCTTCATAATATTCAACTCTGTTAATCCAGTTTTTAGCTTCATATAATATGACTTGCAGGGTATCCACTGTTCAGAAAAAATAGTGAACGTAAAAGTCAGGCTTGGAAATTGAGCACTGTGCACCCAGTAGAACTAGGAAAACCATAAAATGAATTACTCTGGTAATTTCTAATTCATCGTTATCACATAGTAAAAAGAGCAGAACAAAACTTCATTAGCTGTGAAGCACTTTTTGACCTTTATTGGTCAGTCATAAATGCAAGTCTTTCCTTTTTTTTTGCAATCTGCATAAAACTCCTTCCTGTCAGTGGAGGATTTTCCTTTCCATTTACAAGGGCTCCTTGATACTGCACCTAGTCAGATGTTGCCCAGATGTCAAAGACAATTAATTTCACTTCAATCAGAGATAGTAAGAACTGCCGATGCTGGAGTCTGAGATAACACAGTGTGGAGCTGGAGGAACACAGCAGGTCAGGCAGCATCAGAGGAGCAGGAAAGCTGATGTTTCGGGTCGGGACCCTTCTTCAGAAATGGGGGAGGGGAAGAGGGCTCTGAAATAAATGGGGGGGGTTGGGCTGGGGGAGG